CCACCTAAATGTTTTAATATATCTTTTACAAATATTTGCGGTCTGCGAAGCAACTTTCCATCAGTTGAGTCTTACCTCCTGCAAAATTCACCAGACTTGCTTGCACTAAGTGAAACAAATTTAAATTCTGCAATTCCTTCTTCAGATGTCAGTGTTGATGGGTACTATCCTTTGATTCGTAAATATAATACAATACAAATTCAGGCTGGAATGGAAGCTTTTATTCCTTCTCGTCGGTTTTAAGTCAAGCCTCATTCTACTCCATTTTTTCTCCTTCTTGTGCGGCTGCTATATCCAATCGTAATCATTTTTTTCATCTTTTTCAAAAGAACAACTCTCTTGAGAACAAACGGCTATTTATTATTGCAAGAAATCGATGTAAAAAGGTGCTTTCTGATGCTAAAGTCCATTATTCTCAGTTCACTAAATCTCGCATCTTATCACAGAAGTTAGGCTCTAAAGACTTTTGGAAAATCTTCAACAGCATTATTAACAAGGGTAGATCTAACATTCCATCTCTCATTCATGGGACTGATCTTATTACCTCTCCCAAGGATAAGGCAGAACTATTTGCAAAGAGCTTTTCTTCTAATTCCACTCTTGAATCTTATAGACATTCTCTTCCTTCCATTCCAGTCAAACAGGTTGACCCATTGTTAGACATTCAAATCACTCCGGCTTCTGTTGCTAAAGTCATATCTCAATTAAACTCGTCTACAGCTTGTGGTCCAGACAACATTCCTGTCGCAGTCTTGCAGAATTGTTCTCCAGAACTTTCTTCAATTCTTTCTAAACTATTTAACAAGTGTTTGACTGAGTCTTGTTTTCCTGCTTGTTGGAAAATGACATCTGTGGTTCCAAATATTCAAAAACTCTGGAGAAAATTCTGACCCCTCCAATTATTGTCCAATCAGTCTTCTTCCTGTTATTAGCAAGGTCTTTGAGTCTTTGATCAACAAATTCCTAACATCTCATCTTGAGTCAAATAAACTACTGTCAGACAATCAATACGGTTTTCGATCCTCTCGCTCTACGGCTGACATACTAACTGCTGTAACTGAAAGATTTTATCGTGCATTAGATGGAGACGGTGAGGCTAGGGCTATTGCTCTCGACATATCTAAAGCTTTCAACAAAGTTTGGCATGCTGGTCTTCTCCATAAGCTTGCTTCATATGGTGTTTCTGGGAAAGTTTTTGAGATTATCAAATCATTTCTTTCTAACCGGTTTATTAAAGTCATCCTTGAAGGCCAACACTCTTCTTTATTTCCAGTAACTTCTGGGGTTCCCCAAGGTTCCATCCTAAGCCCTGTTTTGTTTCTTATCTACATAAACGATCTTCCTGACAACCTTTCATCTAAAGTAGCTCTTTTTGCGATGATTTTTGCTCAACTTTATACTCCTGTCTTGACTAAAAGTCTTCTCTCTTCGATCGCCTAGAACAAGCAGCTGATCTTGAATCCTATCTCACTTCAGTAATAGATTGGGGTTCACAGCGTGGCTTGTGAATTTCAACTCTAACAAAACCCAGTTGTTTTTTGCAAAGAACTACCATAATATGGTCAACATTCCTATATTAATGAATGGCAATCCTCTTACTGAGTCCTACTCTTTACGTCTTCTTGGATTATCGCTTACTACTGACCTTTCATGGAAACCATATATACAATCAATTGCTAAATTAGCTTCTGCTAAGGTTTCTTCTCTTTATCGTGCTCGCCATTTCCTTACTTCTGATTCCATTTTCTACCTCTACAAATTTCTTATTTGTCCCTGTATGGAATACTGTTGTCATATTTGGGCTGGTTCTTCTAATGATGCACTTTCTCTTCTTGACAAGGTCCAAAAACGCATTGTAAATGTTGTTGGACCTGGACTATCTGCTAAGCTTGAGCCTCTTTCCCATCGTCGTAAAGTTGCATCTCTTTCTCTTTTCTACAAATACTATCATGGTCACTGTTCAAAGGAGTTATCATCTCTAGTTCCATCAACTAAAATTCATTCTCGTTTTACTCGTCATTCAGCTAAGTCTCATTCGTTTACTGTATCTGTCCCTGCATGCTCTAAACACTTTTATTCATCTAGTTCTTTTCCCCACACTTCAATCCTTTGGAACTCTCTCCCATCTTCATGTTTTCCTGACTCATACAACCTTCAACTTTTCAAGTCTTCTGTCAACCGTTTCCTTGCTCTATAACTCTGTTCTTTTTTTTTTCTAGTAACTCCCAACTTAATAGTGGTTGCTTGCAGCCTTGTTGGGAGTGAATACAAATTAAAAAAAAAAAAAAAAATTTGGAGATAATAGAATGACTTGCCTAGTCATAAAAACAGAGACACAAGCAAAACCCACGCATTGAGTCAAGAAAAAAAGCCAGCGTTCAACATCCTAAACTGGAAACAATGTATTAAACACATCTGACACATTAACACATTAAAACATTTAAAAAACACATCTGCGCCAGCCTAATAAATGAAGAAGGGGTGCGAGGCTGGTCAACAGATATAGAATCATGTAAAGATGGTCTAATAAAAAAAATTCAAAGATTTGTCATAAATGTTTCATTTCTTCCTCTCATAGCTCCAGAGATTCCAGAAAGATATTTCAACACTAAAATATTATTTGAAAAACTAAATCTTGAAAAAGTTGAGCATTGGGGTATGCGATATAAAACTTAGTCAAATTCTGAAAGGGATATCTCCAAGTAGCAGTTCGATTCATCCCTGTTATGATGTGAGTGGGATAGAAGAGAAACCTAGACAAATGTTCCACGCAGAATATTCAAGAGCTGTCAAAAAAACTACAAAAAAACTATAGAAAATACAAAGAATTTGCACAACATTTTAAGAATTGTATAAATCCTGTTAGTACATGAAAATCCCTCTGAGTTTCTTGCAGACAGATTTGTTTTACATGAGCTTCATATAATGGAGGGAACAGTCAACTATGTAATTGATACCATGAGGCAGATTTGGTCGGAAATGAGTATGAATGAGATTTATGAACAATTGCAAATTATTAAAACTGGTCAGCATGGTAGAACTATTAATTTAAAAAGTGGGTAGTGTTTAATGATAATTTGCCAAATAAACTAAAGTCTTATGAAGAATGCTTAAGGTTGCTAAATTTAGTTGTTGAGTCTTGCTTTGGATCTGAACTTGATGAAAGCTTTCAAACTAATATCAAAAATTTAAAGGCTTGCTATAAAAAGTTGATGTTGGAACATGGTATTGCATTAACACCAAAATTTCATATCCTGTTCAATCGTGTATCTGAATTCTGTAAAAAAAGAAAAAGAAAAAGGGGCCTAGAAGTTTACTCAGAGCAATCAAGAGAAAGTGTTCACTACCTCTTCAACACTGCCTCTTGGAACCGCTACAAGGTGTCTGCTAATAATTGTAAATATGGAAAGAACTTAGTTAGGGCATTAAGTTCTTATAATTGAAAACGTTTTGTTTCTCTTGGTAATGTTGATCTAAACGTTGATATTTTTTAGTAATTCAAATCATGAATAAATTATTTTCAATTTTATTTTTGTAAATCTATGTACATTTGATATATTTTCATTTGATGATTTAAAACATTTGATTATCCTTTCTTTAACAATGTAATAAAACAAAATAGCTTCTGTATTATTTATTTCCAATAAATTGTCTGTAACTTTTAACTGAAATTGACAATAAAATTTTGAATGAAAACATGGCAGAGCAAAAAAAGGTGCAAAACACTTGCAAAAAATGGCGCAAAAAAAAAGAATGAAAAAATCTTTAAAAAGCTATAATTACTTAATAGGTGTTTTTTGATTTCGCAGACTATATTCATAGTGATAAGTAAACTATACTTTTTCAGAAACCATCAACCTTGACTTGGACACAATTTAAAAAACCTAAATTTAGTTAAAGCTAACCGCGATAATGAAGTAGCCACATTTAATGCAGTTTTTGTTCAAGAAAAGGCAGAAGAGAATTTTTGTTAGAAATTTTCAAAGATTTTAAAAATCAATGAAATGCAATGCCAAAGATCACGCTGCCAGATTAATATTATAGAATGTTTTTTTGGTATGAGCATTTTTTGTTTGCTTGGTATATTGTTTTGAATGTAAATTATTTAAATGTAACTTAAACAAAAACTTTACTATTTTTAATTGTTTTATGTTTATTTTTATTACACTTGTCCAAATATAAATATCTTTAGAAAGAAATTGGTGGTGTATACCAATCTCTTCATATGGTATATTTGGGAAAGTTTTTTAAACTATTGAATTACTTTATTTCATTCTAACTACTGTATAAAAGTCATCATTAATGGACAACACTCTTCATTTCCTGTAACTTTTGGGACAACACAAGGTTATACGCTTGGTCTTGTGTTATTTTTTGTCTTTTTTTTTTTATATACCTTTGATAACCATGTGGTAAAACTACAAAATCCAAATTTAAAAAAAAGTCATCACTTTTTGATTATTTAGAACAGAGAGCCAATTATAAGCGAACGCCAAACGTTTATCTAAGCAATAATAAAGAAACACGGGATTTGTTTTTCTTTCTTTTTTTAAACAATCATTGGCACATTCATCGATTTATCATGCCTTGGCATATATACCATAAACTGTCAATTTTAGTCTAAAATTTGGGACTTAAGTTTATGACAGTTTTTGGGACATTATTTTCATTAAAAACTGCATGTCCAAAAACTCTCAGTTGATGTTAAAGACACTCATTATGTCTAACTCTGCAAAAATAATTTATGTATGTACACTTTGCTGCACTTATCCCTAAAAAAGCAGTCTATATATAAATATATAAAATAAAAACTATCTATAATTACTATTTTTTATAACTATTATAAAATAAATTTCTTTTTTACTTTACAACATTATTTACTATTTTTCATCTTCACACATTACCAGAAACAAATATTGCAAAATAAATTCAAATTATCACAAAACAAAGTAATGCGAGCCTTAAAAATCTACAGTCAACAAACAAATATTAAATCTAACCTGGGTTTGATAACTTTGGTGGAAGTGGAAGTGGTCTTCGTACAGAACGTTGAGGGACAGTATTAACAATCACTTCAATAGTTGGTCTTTCTTTCAAGGATTTATTTTTTGGTCGTGAAAGTGTGCTTTTTCTACTTCTAACACGACTTTTCTTAAATAATCTCAACCACCAGAATCGTGTGGAATCGGTTTCTAACTCTTGCCTAGAAAGTAATTTTTAATAGGCAATTAAACAAACACTACATTTAATGCAATCAAGAAAACGAAAAAAGTAATAATTATACTCAGATTTTAATGTATCAACTTTGATTATAAATTGCACATATTTCCAACGAATATTTTCTCGAAAACGATAACCTAATAAAGCTACTACGATAATCAATACTCCAAAACCAGTTAACAGAGACACCAGGAGAACCTTATTACTAGTATCTAAAATAGTAGAGTTAAAAAAAAAAAAAATATTAAATTTTATTTAAAATAATTTTCATGCTTATACATATACAAAAAACACATAATATTTTAATGATCATTTATGAAATACAAATAGGTAGCACTAATGTAATAATGAGATAAGGCTAGGTGAGAGAGATAAGGGTAGGTGAGAGAGATAAGGGTAGGTGAGTGTTATAATAAAAATGACTCAATAATAACAACAGAAATTTTTTTTTTGGTATTCTGGAATTCAAAAGCTTTGAAGTCCAGAAATGATTGAATCTTTCTGACAAATCATCTAATGCATTGTAATTAAAAAAAATTAGTAGCATCCTTATCTGTAATATTTGATTTAAAAAAATATAATATTTTCCTTGAGTGTGACAAAAATTTGAATGTGTCACATTAGATGTCTTTTTTTTTTTGGACTAAACAAAACTAATATAAAATATCAGCCTAAAGTTTTTTTCAACAAAGTTATTTCATAGATACAAACTAAACTTGTAAACTAACTACATTTTAAAAAATTCAATTTTAGTCAATAAAATGTTTGAATCCATTACTAATCATGTATAAATCTTCTAAATTTCTAATAAATATTGGTATATAAAAACTTACCAAGAGGTGCAATATTATTTTTAAAGTCATTTTCTGTGCCAACGCCTCCTTCTACTTCATAGATAACAATAGTAAACACGCACTTTGAAACAATTTTGCTTTGTGCACAACCAATTGATTTAGTGTTTTTCCATACAATGCTTGAAAAATGGGAGATATCAGCTGTGCTTAATTTTGCCGTGCCTGACTTAAAATCATAGTTTTTGATTTCATCTGTGTACCAATCATACACAACCCCTTTTGCAGATGGTGGAAACAACAAGTTGTGAAAAAAGCGTTTAGGACAGTGTGGCTCACTTTGACAACAAAACTTGTGAATACTTTCACCAATTCGAACACTCGTATTAAAGTTTCGATCCCTAATTTAATAAAAAAAAAATTGATTTTTGTTAATTTAAAACTTTTATTTTATATTTATAACTTTAAGATAATTACTATGCATTATTATATTAGGAATTTAAAAAAAAAAGCTTCTTTTTTTTTTTAAATTCCTAATATAATAGTCCCTAACAATATCACAAAAATCTCAAAAGAAGCAAAACAATATAAAAATTGAAAAAAATATATATTTATTTGCGCTGTTATCAATACATGATTTTTTGTTGTTGTTATGTTGGAACAACTTAGTTCATTGCTTTTATGCAACAGTTCTGCAACATTTTATGCAACATATATATATATATATATATATATATATATATATATATATATATATATATATATATATATATATATATATATATATTATTAAATCTATCTGGTTTCACATTTATTGATATTTCTGCCCAAGAAAGTGGCGTAAATGATTTTGAACTAGCAATTGTCCACATTTTTATTATATTCTTTAACGATATCCATTCCAATATGATATTTCCAATATCTACATTTTTATTTTCAAGTTGTTGACATAACATTTCGATGTCAATAAAGGCTTTAATATCATTGTCTAATATGTTTTTATGTTTTTTTAAATTGTTTTCAATAGTGAAGAAGTTGCTATCTGTCCATTCAGCCGTGTTTAGCAAATCGTCCGCCTCGGCAAACACATCCGATACATTTCAACATTGTTTTAAAATACACTTCTTCATAGACGTTGCAACACGAACTCTTTACAATTCCATATAAAAAGCGCTTTGACCAGAAAAAACCGGAGTCTGGATCTTTTTCAAATCTTTCTAAATTCATAACTACATTGGTCGAGTGAAGACTGAACTTCGTGCATTAATATTTTTTTTTCTTGTGTTACCTATAAACAAAAACGTTAACAATATTATTTTCAATATATTGTGAATGTTTTATCGATATAATTGTTTACTTTCTTAAATACTGATATAAATCAAGAAATATTATTATTAAAACAAATTACTATTTATTAAAAAAATACTTGTGTATGTTATCAAATACTATATAATATATACGAAATGTAAATTAATTATTTTAATTTAGTAACTATTTAAAGTTAGTGTATAAATATACGTATTTGAATTTAGTAAACATTGAATGCCTTAATTAAAACATTTTTTAAAAGTCTATTGAAGTATGACTATGAAAAAACTGTGAAAAAAGTGAGAAAGCAATAAAACGAGTTTACAAAATTTGAATTAATTTATTCTTTTAAAACTTTTAACGTTACTTTTTAAAGTAAATTTAAACAGAAAAGGTCGCTAACTTTTAAAGACTTTTAAATAAATAACTCAAAGTGAGAGAGCAACAAAACAATAAGATTCAAATAAATTTTTTCTTTTAAAGTCAATTTAAACTAACGACTTAAACATTTTACTTTCTTTATGAAATGTTAGTCTTTAATCTTTTTGTAAATATTACTTACAAAACATAAACTATTCTATTTTTATTATTTGTTTACATACTGCAAAGATTGAGCTTAATACCTTAGAAAAAATTGCCATTGCTCTACACACATCAAGAACATAGACCGCTGTTGACATAAAATGCTGATCCTGTAATTCTTTATGAAGAACATAGTCTTTGATCTCTGAGCTGGGCTGTAGTCGCTTTCCAAGCTGATGGTATTATAACTGCTAATATGCGCTTTGTGACCATTAAAATTATTCTCCAACGCATTAACCATATGCGCCACCCATCTAGTACCATTAACGCGGATTACACTACACTTGCCTATAAAAATACAAGGAGAAAATGAATTACAATGATGTTCAAAAATTGACGAAAATAAATTGTGAAAAATAGAATTTAGATTTAGTGAAAATGCACTACGTAACACTAAATTAAAAAAAAATTAAGGTATTACTTCAAACTTAATTAATAAAAATTAAAATACCTTGTACAGCATAAACTTTGAATGTGTTACGATAAACTGCGGGTATAATGGTTGAATTTCTATGATACACAAAGAGCTGCTCACAAAATAATAGCAAAATTTGGATCTACTTTGATGTATTGGCAGCATCTTTCAATGCAAGTTACCTACATCCCTATGCCTCCACCCTCGGATGGGGCCTGCTAATAATAGACAAAAGGACTACGAACTTTAATACCGAGACTTGCAAAATATTGTTCCATTATTATGTTAGACAGTTAAAAAGTATGTAACCTAAAAAAATCATCTTCTTTAGACGACAAAAAAAAATTAAACTTAGCTGCACAAATTTTTCTTATAGAATTATTGAATTAATAGAAAATTGTTACCATTAAAAAATCTCTCCAATGCAACGGACGATTTTGGACTGGTATGCGACGATTTTAAAATTATATAAATTTTTCCATTATTTATTAATTTACATTATAAACGGCAGCCATTTGTAATCCAAGTTAATGTTAATAAATTTCCATAGTTATTAAAAAAAAATAATAAAAAGAAAAAAAAAATTTGAGACTCAATTGCAACAAATTGATATTTCCAGTAGCCCTTCACAAGATTTGGGGGGCATTTGCCATCAGGCGACTGCGACTGTACACCACTGATATATATATATATATATATATATATATATATATATATATATATATATATATATATATATATATATATATATATATTGCTGACCACGCAAATGATCTTTTTTTGTTGACAACTTGACCGCGACTTAAATTTAAATGTTTTAATGATTTAAACATTTGAGAAATGTGCTGAAAAAAGAAATGAAAAAAACTAAACAGTTTAGCTTAGTGTTTTTAAGTGTGAAAACTATGAAAAAAATTTTAAAAACTGAAAAAGAAAACAATTTCTCACAAAAAATAAAATATATAAGCTTTAAAATAAAACTCAAAAACTCAAACTCGAGGCGATATTTACTTTTTGTTACATTTTTAACTGCAGTGGAAATAAATTACTTAAAAACTTATCTTTTGAGACGTTTTGTTAAAGTTATGTAAAACGCTTTTACAAATTACTATTAATGATTGTTTGATAAATAAAAAAAATTTATTTAAATTGTTGTTTATTTAAATAATGAAAAATAAATTATTGAAATAAAATAAATATAATATTTTTAAATTGTGTTAACATTTTATTTTGAAAAACTCGCAAACAAAACTTTTTTTTTATAATTATGTAGTCTTTTTAAAATACTAATTTTTAATTTCATTATTAAGTCAAGTTTTTTTAAAAAAAAAAGCTTTTAAACAATTCTTGTAAAAACAGAAACATAAAAAAAATTAAGCAATTAAATCAATTGCAACGGGAAAGATTTTAACTAAACTTATTCATAATTTAAAATATTTGAAAAAAGTAATCTTATTTATAAAAAGACATGGAAAAATAGTTTCAAATGTTTAAATTTATTATAAAAAATACATACATACAAAAAATACAAATACACCTACTAAAAAAAAAATTATTTAATTTACACAAAATGCGTTTATTTAAGCAATTATTATAGTTTTTATTTTATTTAAAGTCTTCGCATAAAATAAAAATGTTAGAAAAAATCAACAGTTAATTTTTCTTATAATGTAATGATTTTTTTATTGCATTTGAATTGTTAAAACATTAACACAGCTGTGGTTAATTTGTAAAGTAAAAAAATTATTAGCATGGTCAGTTACAGAGTGTGATTGCATGCCATTCCTGTTCAAACCTGTGAAATAGGAGATTATCTCAAAAAACATTTACTATGCATTCTTTGTAAAAAAAATTAAGAAAATTTTGAAAAAAGTAGTAATCCCTAGAAAAAAGTAGTAAATATCTATAGTGTTTTAAACAATGTATATGTGTTAATAGAGCAGTAAAATTTAGGTTGAAGTTTTATGAGCAGCTTTTAACTACTTAACTATATCTGAATTATAGATTTGATATGTTACATATAATAACTATTTTATAAAACAATCAGTGTCCAACAAAGAGTTTTAGGAGAATGATAACCTTTCAAAAAACATTATAATAAATAAAAGGGCAACGCTAAAATTAGATTAAAATATTTGCTAATGATATTCTCTAATCAATAATAAAAAATATGATTGACAGCATAAACTTACCAAGCAGCCCGTGGAAAAGTTATTCGTCCATCCCAATTCTCGATATGAATACTAGTATCAACATCACTTGCATGTCTTTTACGGCGCTTGGGGAGTACTCTAGGCCTTTCTTGACTATACAAATGTTATTATAAAATTAGTGACATTATTATACAAAATTTAACACAAGATAAATTATAGTACAAGATATATATAATACAAGATAAATTATTAAGACTTATTTTTATTACATAAATATAAGTAGTATATTTAAGAACACTTGGGGGTGGGAGTTTTTTTCTAATTCTATAAGTGAGTTTTTTTCTTCTAACTTTTAAAACCTAAACTGGTCTTAAAATTAGAAAATACTATCTAACATTTTTTAAAATAATTTTTTTTGTTTGTAACAAGTAAAATTTAACAAACAAGGATTTTTAAAAGCTCAGGGCGGGTGAGAAAGATTTTTTTTCCTGTTTACGAAAAGATTTTTTGTAACAACTCTAACTAAACTATTCCAGACAAAAAAATCAGTTGACAAAGAAACTAAAAACAGTATGACAAAAAAATTGAGCTTTATCAACTTTTTTGTAATTTCATCCCTGTAAATATTGTGACAGTGATTCAAATTTCAGGTGTTATGTTTATTATAAAATATTTAAAGTTGTTTTATTAAATTCCTTGATTCAAAATATGTAATAGTACATATTTTCAGTTTTCCATTGCACACAGAACAGAAACAAAAACCAAAACCAATTTTTTAAACGGCAGATTTTGTCAATTTAAAGCAAAGTTAAAATTGTTCTCCAAAAATAAATATTTGAAATCCATTGGAATCAGATGATGAAACTTTGATGTTATCATGATGATCACCAAATACTAAGGGGTGTTATCACACGGAATCACCAATTATTAAGTATGATTTAACTTTTCTCACATAATAATGATAATAATAATAATAAATAGCAAAAGGTGGACTCATGGTCATGAGGTCATGAGCAAGGTAGGTTATTAAATAGGTCATGAGTAAGGTAGGTTAAATATGTTAACTCTATCTATAAGATGATTCTTATAATAACTTTTTGTATTTTTTGTATTTTTGTAACAAAGAAGATAAGCAACATCCATAGAACAAACAAAATTATCTAAATAAGTTCTTAACAGAAAAAATTAAATAATCCACATAACTATATAAACTAAAACAACATAAAAATAATATAAGTACTATAACAATTTGAATTAAAACATTGTAAAAAATTTAAATAAGATTAGTAAAAATTTAAATAGCTTTAGTAAATGGTATGAACATTAGGAAAAATTTACTTTAGTTTTTAGATGATAATTAACACTAAAGAATTAATTGAAAATTCTTAAACCAATTAAAAATATAAAACTCCTAAATTGATTATTACAGTAGGAATACCTTAAAATGGAATAAAGCCCATATAACTTGTAGTAATTATAATTAATTAATAATTATGTAAATTGTAGGCCTCAATTATAAAAGGGAGGATAACAAATTTGCCTCAATTTCCTAAAAAGTTGATTTTCTTGTCAGGATGTACACCAAACAATTCTCTTCATAGATCAGTCTGTTTATTAGTCTTAAATATCATTGAATTAAAATTTAATAAAAATTTAATCTTGACTTATAATCAAATTTATTCTATGGCACGCGCAATCGTCTACATTATTTTTGGTTGAATGTTCAGAAATTGAACTCGTCCTCTCAAATTTCTAATGTTCAAATTAAGAATAATACCACAAATTCTTCACGTATCTCATGTTTTTTTATCAACAATTTGTAGCACAACAGATAGTTGCTCTGTGTGGTGAGAATTGCTTCTGCAAAGACTGCAAAAACTTTGGCTTCTTTATCTTTTTTATATTTTTTTTAGAAGCGTGTATCATACAATTGCCTAAATTGAGATATTCTTATTTTGAACATTTACTGAATTAAAACAAGCATTTGTCTTTTTCGGATCTAACAAATGCTGTTGCAACCCACTGTTAAAATCTTTCATGAGTTTAAGAAATGAAGGAAAATTACCAATATTTCTAAATTTTCAGTTGTACCACACAGAGGTATATTTTGTTTTCCACAATAGATAACAGCATTCATAACAAATTTCAGAATGTGTGTATTGCATCAAAATTTATCAGCAAGTTATTTACTTAGTTGAGCTTCTAAATCTCTTATTCTTAAGTGTTCATTGATTATACCAATTTATCCAAATAATTTTGCGATAAAATCTATTTTAATGATAATCTAGTTTTCTTCAAACTTATTTCAAAAATCAAAGAGTTAGTTTACAAAAGACCCCTTATCATCTCTTTTAAGATTCATTTAAGATTCATTCGCCCACTTGCTCTGAAATTTTTTGGCAAGTCTGTTGGTGTAACATGCTTTGTGATATATTGAATTTTTATTTCAGTCAACATCTTTTTTGTATTTTTTTCAATAATGCTTATGTTCATTTTAGGCATAATATTTCCAATATCAAAAAAATGAGCTTTCTCAACACATGCCATCATTGTATGGTGTTGTTCAAGTATTTTTTTCATGATCAATGTTCAACTATTTAAGTCATTTTGTACTATCTGTTGATGATTACTAGTCACAATTAAAAATGTTGTTAAATTGTCATGAAAAATTACTTGTTCAAGTATGTGTTCTCATGAAGACATGATGTTTTCACTTTGCATTTGACTGTCTTTTATATATATAAAAAAAAGTCAACTTTGCACATTCATTTGCTAAAGATTTCAATTTTTTTTTAATTTATTATTAATACAACCTTTCTCACCCACTTTTTATTTTTTGATTCATGCCAAACTAAATAATTTAAAGAAATGAAAAAAAGATATACAAAGATATATAAATACAACTTAATACAAAAGTAAATACAACTTAATACAAAAGCTAATAAACACAAAACAGTTAAGAAAAGCATTTTATGAAAAAAATATTTATGTCATATGATACAACATTTTAGAAAAATATTAAAACAAAACTAATCAAAAATAATAATTCAATGCCCACTTTTGCAATTTGTTTTTGTTACAATTGGCAGAACTATTTTATAAAAACTTAATGCAACGCTACTTTTAATGAAAAAATAAGTAAAATTAAACTAAACCCTAATACTAGTAAAATTTTGAAACTTGCCCATTTTTAAAAGAAGGGTAACATTTAGCCTACTTCTCTCCCCCCCCCCCTGACTAGTAGCGAGTCTGATATATATTTTTTTATAGTATGGCTTTTAGAACCTGAATATAACAAGCAGTTAACACCAATAACAATTAGTTTGTGCTTTAATTATAAAATATGATTAAATTATTAGTAAAACAGCATCTTAAAGGTGTGATTGTCTCAATCACACCTTTAAGATGCTGTTTTACTATCACTATCACAGCCCTTATCCTCTCAGGCATTGAATCAACTAATTTTAGGCAATATTCCAGCATTATTTCTTGAGTCCAAACAGTCATGATTGCTTTCTTAAGGGTGTTTTTGGAACTAGGATTCTTCTTAGCAATTTTCCACTTCATCATCATCCGTAATTCTATTGGATTAAGGTCCGAGCTAGAGCCAGGCCAAGGTCCTAAGACATCAATGTGTTGACCCATTAGCCACTGGGTAACTGCTCCAGTACGGTGGCATATAAAGTTTTATAATCTCGATTTCAAAACTTTATATAGTTGTCTATAAAAAAAATACCTTTGCCTTAGAGCCAGTAAGATTTGAAAACCACAGCTTTGTACCTTGTTGTCATGATCTTTTAGCATGGTGTAAAGAATATTTTCAGGTTTTAGGCACAATGCATTGTATTAAATGTTTCTTTTAACAATAGGTTTAATATCATCAAAGGGGAGATATTACCAATAAGCCACTTAAATTCTAGTATTACCAATAAGCCACTTATTAGTGTATTGGTAGCAGTAGAAGAGTATTGGTAGCAGTATTATCAAGAAGAACAGCTTGTACACTTTTCTAACAATTAAGTTCTTGTAAAACACTGAACGTTACAGTAGCAAGATCTAAGCCTGTAGCACCAGAAAGAGGAATCGTCCTATGAGTCAAATAATTTCCACTCGATTTTCCATCTCCATAAGTAAATGTGAGATGATGTTCAGGTTTAATGCATTTCTTTAGTACTTCTACTTGAGTTGAGTTTATTATTTTACTTGTTTTTAGTTATTTGATTGAGCTTACCATCAACCCTGCAACAAATTAAATGTTTTTTTTGTTCTGAGTCCACATCTTCACTAATGACTTTTAGTTTTGACTAGGCCCTATCTAATTTGCATTTGTCAATCAAAATATTTTTTATATCAACATCGTTTTTCAGGAGATGTTTAATGGAATGTAGCAAAACATTAGCTGATTCATCTACTACAAACATTTATGTATTAATAAAATATTTAACTCCATATTGGATAAACCACTTGTTTCTTCAATTAACATGTGATATGAGGGATTCATCCTCATCTACTAGCTTATAAGATATTTTTTGTCGATCTTTACCAAGTCTTTGAATCCTTTTGACAGATAATCTATCAATGGAAGAAAGTTCATATGCACCTTTTGGATCAATTTTTTTCCTCTGATCACAAAGATGAGCTCTGTCTTCAAGAGGTACTTTATTACTTTGACAGCAAAGGCATACAATATGTTCTTCAATGCAATTTTTTTAATGAATAGGAACAAGCAGAAATATCAAAAAGTTTGTCCTAAAAAAAGCTAATAGAAAAAAAGCTTTTCCATGCTTGCGATTATCCTAAAGAGATCTTTAAATTTCCTATTAACAGATTTGTCAGTTGCAAGAAGTAAATCCACATTTTCGTAGACTGATATTAAAGAATAACACATAGAGTCATAGGCGAAGGTGTAACTTTTTAGTGGGGGCTAAAGTACCAAATAACCCTAAAATATCAAAACTTACTATTAAAAACCTGCTTTGTAAAAAATAATTCCTTTTAAAAAAATATGGGGCCATGGACCCTCAGGAATTGAATAAAACCATTAGTTCCTTCGACTGAATTAAGGAAAACCATTAGTTTCGAAAAGTTTTATATTTTAATCTACTTCATAAGTTGCAATACAAAACTTATGTTATATTAAACAGGTAAAAACA